AAAAAAAAAAAAAAAAAAAAAAAAGGAAAAATTATTATTCGATTAATATCTCGAATTAATTGTCAAAAGCATGCGTAATTTTCGTTTCGATCGAAAATTCCGGTTTAATTCCGTTTCGTCACGGTCGTGCATTCGATAAATATTGTCTGTCGCGCGGAAAGAAAATTTATCGGCACAATTCAACAGAAAGAGATCTCTCCGCGAAACACGAAAAGATCATCGTATCATCGTATTTTAATAGTTTATCCCCTGCCCCCTTCCCGTAAAAAACGTAAATACTCATCGTGCCAAGAGTATGACTCTCCTGCATCGTCGAGTTACCGTTTCGCGTCAGCGTAATAAACGAAATCCCTTCTAATCGAGAAGGATAGAGAATGGAAGAAGAGAGGCGAGTAGAAGAGAGAAACGCGTTTGCGTGGAGCGAAAATTTGCAAATTAACAAAGCGAGACGTGCTTTGTTAAAAAAAAAAAAAAAAAAAAAAAAAAAAAAGAACGCACGTTCAAAGACTGGTCTATATACACACAGTTCAGGCACATATCTCTCTCTACATCCTGAAACCGATAGCGCATCCCATAGATCATGTGAGTCACGGTGGATCGCGGCCGGGCGCAACACGCGGAGAGAACTATGCCGAACGACGGAGTGACGTGCGCGGCTAAAATTAATATGCCGCTATATCTGTTTCGTTACTTAACACGAAAATGTCAGGTGTAAACACGGGCTTTTTTTGGCCGAAAGCTCGTATTACATCCACTCTCCCCATTGTAGTTACGGGGGATCTCGTTACGATTGATCATTATTGAGGACAGCAAGTGACCTCGATTAATAGTGGCGCGATGTTCACGCACTTTTTCAGCGGCACGCAGGAGGATTTCCGGCTGGCACTTGGCGCGTACCACCGTGAAATGCAGAAACTGAACGCCACACCGGGTCAGAGCCCTTCGCTCAGCGGACTGCCGGGATTGGCCGGGCTGCCCGGCCTGTTGGCGCTTCAGCAGCAAGCGCTTCAGCAGCACCACCTGGCGACGAACGGCGGAGGCGTCCAAGATCTGAGCCTGGGCAAGGTGCAAGATCCGAGGGGGAAGATGATAAACGGTGTTACGGAGGAGGAGAAGGAGAAGATGGAGGAAGCGATGAGACACGCGGGTAGCGCTTTCTCGCTGGTGAGGCCGAAACAGGAAGCTTCAACGGCGCCACAGTCGACGCCAGGTGGATCCAGCGCGAGTTCGCCTCTCGGCAACTCGATACTTCCACCGGCAATGACACCTAGCGAGGAGTTTTCGAGTGCAGCGGCGGCTAGCCCTCTTCAGAGGATGGCCTCCATCACCAATAGTCTGATCAGTCAACCGTCCACGCCTACTCACCACACGGCCAACCAGAGGCCGCTGAAAGCGGTACTTCCACCCATCACTCAACAACAGTTCGACTTGTACAATAACTTGAATACGGAGGATATAGTTAAGAGAGTAAGTGGCGCAACTGTCGCTTCGGCTTAACCTATCCTTCCTTACCGTCGAAATGGCGTCGTGTCCAAGATCCCGCTCGTTTTATCTCTCGCGATCGTTGTGATATTGCGTATTTTTCGATCGCGAAACGATCTCAATTGATTTTTCGCAGGTGAAGGAACAATTGTCTCAGTATTCCATCTCCCAACGTTTGTTCGGCGAATCCGTGTTGGGCCTGTCTCAAGGATCCGTCTCCGACCTGTTGGCGCGTCCCAAACCGTGGCACATGCTGACGCAGAAGGGCCGCGAGCCCTTCATCAGGATGAAGATGTTCCTCGAGGACGACAACGCGGTTCACAAATTGGTGGCCAGCCAGTACAAGATCGCCCCTGAGAAGCTGATGAGGACCGGCGGCTACGGTGGCCTGCCTCGTAAGTTTAACTCAGGTCAATATAGATGTTTTGTTATTTTACTAAAAAGAAAAAAAACCAAAAAAAACACGACATAGTTTGGGAGCTCTGATGGACCGTGGCTGGAATGCTTGCTGCCCCACGAATAGAGAGAAGCAAAGAAACACGTGTTCGAGTGTGAAATGTGATTTCGAACGAGTTGGAGAGAGAGAGAGAGAGAGAGAGAGAGAGAGAGGTTTAACATTCTGTAAAACTGAGCTTTCGGACTATATACTCTGAGAGTAGTACGGAAGAGGGGTCGACAAGATTTCAACGCCCGTTCTCGTTTACAGCCTGCGGAACACCGATGAAGCCCATGCCTCCCACGAAACTGGTCCAGGAACAGCTTCAAAACGCAGCGAAGGCGCAGGCAGCGGCGCAAGCGGCTGCCCAGGCAGCGGCGCAGCACCAGCAGGAGAACCAGGCAGCGGCGGCGATGCAACTTGGCCCCCCTCAGCAGAGTCCCCAACACCCTCAGCACCCTCAACCGCCACCGCCTATGATGCTGACTCCGCCCGGCCCCCACCACCCCCACGCCCAGCTCAGCATGCAGGAGCTGCAGAAGAAGCAGCAACAGCAGCAGCAACAGCAGATGAACCTGCACTCCCCTCACCACCAGATGGCGCCCTCGCCCCTCCGCGGCCTCCATCCCCACATCTCGCCGAGCGTGTACGAAATGGCAGCGTTGACCCAGGACCTGGACACCCAGACGATCACGACGAAGATCAAGGAGGCGTTGCTCGCAAACAACATCGGGCAGAAGATATTCGGCGAGGCCGTGCTCGGGCTGTCGCAGGGCTCCGTGAGCGAGTTGCTGAGCAAGCCCAAGCCTTGGCACATGCTGAGCATAAAGGGACGGGAACCGTTCATCAGGATGCAATTATGGTTATCCGACGCTCACAACGTCGACCGGTTACAGGCGCTGAAGAACGAGCGCAGGGAGGCGAACAAGAGGCGGCGTAGCAGCGGCCCAGGCCACGACAACAGCTCGGACACGTCTAGCAACGACACGGCCGAGTTCTACCACGCGGCGTCGCCTGGCCCGGGGCCGGCCTCCGCCAAGAAGCAACGGGTCCTATTCTCCGAGGAGCAAAAGGAGGCCCTCAGGCTGGCGTTCGCCCTCGACCCTTACCCCAACGTGGCCACGATCGAGTTCCTCGCCGGCGAGCTTGCCCTCTCCTCGAGGACGATAACCAACTGGTTTCACAATCACCGGATGAGGCTGAAGCAGCAGACGCCCCACGGCCAGCCGGAGCCCCAGTCGCCCAGGGAGCCCGGCCAACCGTTCGACCCTGTCCAGTTCAGAGTATTATTAAACCAAAGACTGTTCGAGATACAGAAGGAGAGGTTGGGCCTGGGCAACGTTCCCCTACCCTACACCCCCTACTTCAACCCCAACCTGGCTGCCTTGGTAGGGAACGCGTTGAAGGAGCAGTGCTCGGGCCTCGACCTGTCCATGAGCGCCTTGAAGAGGGAGCCGAATCAGGAGTTCGAGGACGAGGACGCGGAGGACGCGATGAGCAACCTCGGAAGCGAGGACTCGGAGGGATCGGCGGGTAGCATAAAGCGGGAGCCGGCGGAGACGCCGACAGCGCCTACCACGGTCAGATCGAACAGGAGGAAACCTGCGGCGCCCCAGTGGGTGAACCCCGAGTGGCAGGAGCCGACCAGGGGGGCGGGGGACGAGGTGATCATAAACGGTGTGTGCGTGATGCAGACCGACGACTACGGGGTGAAGAGGGAGGCGGAGGAGACGATCAGGGTGGAGCCCACTCCTGTCCAGGACAGATACGAGGAAGACGCGCAGAGCGACGTGTCCTCCGTCTCTGGGAACAACGGCCAGGACCGGGACAGCCCTTTGCCAAGCCCGAAGTCAGGCCAGAACAGTCCGGTCGCGTCGCCGAGGCCACCCTCCACCCACCAGACGCAGCAGTCCACCGAGGGGAGCCCCAAGGAAAGCGTGGTGAAACACGAGCCGGAAGAAACGTGGGATTATTAAACGACCGATCGAGATCGAGTCATGGTGTCCGCTGTTTTTTCGTGATATCCGTTTTCGTGAGTTTGGACACGGGAGAACGGTGTTTGAAACCGCGTGAGCGAGAGAGAGAGAGAGAGAGAGAGAGAGAGAGAGAGAGAGAGAGAGAGAGAGAGAGGAAGAAAACATGCCAAAATATAATGCTGCGATCGAGTTACGCGGTCCCGTTCTAGCGTGGACTACGGCCTAGTTAAGTTCGTAGAGAGGGGGGAAAAAAAAACCAGTCATAGGATTCGACCAGGCCTGGTTGGTCGATTCCTGCCTACCACGAGGGCATTATCAATAGGGAGGAGGCAAATACAAAGTTAGGAATTACGTGAAACAGAAAATGAGTAAGAAAAAGAGAGAGAGAGAGAGAGAGGAAAAGATAAGAAATAATAAAATAAAAGACATGTCAGTGAAATTATTCGAAAATTGTCGGAAACAATTTTCCGACAGGATGAACTGACCACTGGAGTGGTCGGAGACACACGTTGCTTATCAAAGCAAGAAGACGGAGCTCAATCAAAAAGAAAAAAAAAAAAAGAAAAAAAAAAGAAAGAAAGAAAAGAAAAGGGAAAAAAAAGGAACTCTTTTTTTCGTAACAACGCGTTGTTTCTGTGCGAGTTGATGGGTCAGAAGTGTGGTGTATGCACAGTTGCTATATACGTTCGGCGTGATTCGATAATTGTTAGAAGACTGTGAGACGCGACGAGACAGAGCCTGGAGAGGGGGGGATGGGAGGGAGGGGAGGGGGGGGGAAGAAGATAATAAATAAAAAATAAAAAAGGCGTTCGTCGCACATTCACTCGAAAAAAAAAAAAATCCGAAAGAAAAACCCTGGCCGCTTCCGTTTTTTCCTTCGGTGGAATTGTTGGAGGGGTCGAAAGGTAGTGAAAATAAAATATCGCGTGAAGGAGAGAAAGAGAGAGAGAGAGAGAGAGAGAAACGATGATCAATCGGTGAACGGAAATGGTCCGGGTTCGATAGAGTGCAATCTACGAGTAACCAGAAAGTTGTTAGATCGAATTATTATTAATTTTATCTAATTATGCGGCGAAGATGAGCGATTAATAATTATTGCATAATTGTGATTCATGTTATATTGTTTATACACTTCTCCTATCCCATAGTCATTAAGCTGTTAATGTTATTACACTCCGCTCTCCGACTACGTACCTTTTTTTGTCTGTTCGGTTATTAAATAGGGCGCGTCGTCTTTCGTGAAGGAAGGAAAAAAAAAGGAAAAGAAGAAAAAAAAAAAAAAATAAACAGAGTAAAGTAAACGATTAGGAAAAGAAAATTGTGTCCTCTCAATATCTTCATCCTGCTACTTGCTTGTCTATCTCACTTCCGAAGGGGCAAGCATTAATCATCAAGGAACTTCGGTTAGTATTATTGTTATCTTATTCTTATCTTTCTCTCCTATTCTTTTCTTTTCATCGTAATTCGTAGTTCGTGGTTTCCGTTTGCTGTTCTTCCGTTCTATGGACAAGCAATGCAGGATCAAGAAAAGAAAAATCTGTCCACTTATGAATATAGTTCTTTATGTTCTTTTTTTTTTTCTATTTCTACGTAGAGAAAGAGAGAGAGAGAGAGAGAGAGAGAGAGAGAGAGCGAGAGCAAGAGAGAATGAGAAAGAATGAGAGATACGAAGCGATCGGTGATCGAGGTTATCAGTTACTACCAATATTACCGTATTATTAGGCTTACGTTATCACTGCTATTTTATTATTATTACGATTATTATTATTAATATTATCATTATTATTGATTATATTGTATTATTTTATTACCATTCGAATTTTAATCGCGATAATGACACGGCTTTTAAAGCCAATGTGATAGAGCTTATATGCGATGATAAAAAAAAAGAAGAGAGAGAGCGAAAGAATGAAAGGGAGAAAGAGAGAGCATGCGTGTGAGAAAGAGAAAGAAAGGCGAATGTGCCGAAAGGCCGGAGACTTTCTTCTGTGCGATGAAGATGCGCCGGCATCTTTAAACCGGATGTTATAAAGCGGTGGCACTGTAAAGCTTGCATCCATATGTAAATAACTGTACAAAAAGATAAAAAGAAAAGAAAGAAAGAAAGAAAGAAAAGAGAAGAGAAGAAGAAGAAACTCGGAACATGCGAAAACATTACACGTACATCATCTTGTATATTATACTTAATTACCACACTTAACTCTCTAATAGCGGTATTATTCACAGACACGAAACTAAAAGCGACCATGTACAACGACTCCTTAACGCTACGTTTCCTATACTATAGACGATCGAACGATGAGTAATTGATCGTCGATAAAGAACAAATTTTGAGACGAGTCTTCTTTCACCGATGTATATATATATATATATATATACATATATATATACACATGGAAATATGTACATGGAAACGTGGCTTTAAGGTAAGCGCGACGCGACGGGTCATAATTATGAAAATTACCGTACACTATCAATGCCTGAGAAGGGAGAGGAAGTGAGGGTGAATGAGTATGCTTGTATGAGAGAGACAAAGGGCAAAAATTATCCTCGATATTACGAATCAAACTTGTATTTACCAGATTAAATTTTAATCTTCGATTAAATTCTAGTCCGCAATTTAAACGAACAATGGCTAAGGGGAATGAGAGAGAGAGAGAGAGACAGAGAGAGAGAGAATGTGAGAAAATGATAGATAGATAGAATGAATGAATGAGCGAGCGAGACAGAGACGGATAGACAGAGAGAGAGAGAGAGAGAGAGAGAGAAAGGGAGAGAGAAAGGGAGAGTAAGTGGACGAACGAACGAAAGAAGAAAATGAATGAGCAAAAAAGACGACATGCGATCGACAGCCAACCGGTGAGGAAAACACTTAAACAAAAAGGGCATTGCTAATTGAGAGATCAGTGATCCGACATTCTTTTTTTCTTTTTCAATTTACGTTGGTTTTTTTTCGTCAATTTTTAACCATAGGGGGGAATAGTGTCAACTATACATAAACATTACTATTATCACCTTTAATGCTAATGTCACCCTTATTATTCAAGTTATTACTATTATTATGATTATTATTATTATTATTATTTTTTTATTTTTATTATTATTATTATTATAATTATTATTATTATTATTATTATTATTATTATTTTCTTTTTTTACTTTTATTTTTATTATTATTATTATCTTTATCATCATCATCATCATCATTATCATCATCATAATCACATCATTATCATTATCATTACCATTACCATTATCATTATCATTATTATTACGATTATTATTGTTATTATTGTTATTGTTATTATTGTTATTATTATTATTGTTATTATTATTATTATTATTATTATTATTATTATTATTATTATTATTATTATTATTATTATTATTATTATTATTATTATTATTATTACGATTATTATTATTATTATCTTTTCCATAATTATTACAATATATCATCTCGTAACTTAATGACATCGACCAGTCGCATGGGTTGACGATCCACCAATGACATCGAAAAATATCAGGCAATATGATAATACAAAATCAATAAACTATGAAAGAAGAATGTACATGTAGGAAGGAAGGACGGGGATCAAAAAAAATGTATACAATGCCTGTCAAATCGATCATTTTACAACCCGATGAGACCGTCCGATTGTCAATCTCATTAGGTTACGACGCGAAAATTTCCCGCCACACCGATCGTCACCGATTGCCGCCGATCGTAGCCGATCGTTGCCGATTGCCGCGCAGCTGATTAAACAACATGTAACCTGATTTTAACGGGGGACGATCGGCGCTGCGGCAAAACTCCTTTTGTTTCATCGACTCCCCACCCCCTCCCCCCCCCCCACACACACACAATCCCACCCTTTCTCTTTTCACGGTGTTTTTTTTTTTTCTCTTTTCTCTTGTTTACTCGAAACGAGACGCGAGGCATATAGGTTCTTCTGTAGATACCGAATAGACTCTAGATAGCAGATAGCTTTAATTATTTAAGCGGTAAACGGTAACTTTCTAGGCGAGCAATCACCCGGGTTTAGGGTGTGGAATTTGTAATATAGCGGGAGAGAAAGGAGGTTCGTGCGGACAAACGAGCGGAGGTCTCACACACAAGGACCACCGGAAGGAGGGAAAAATCATATCGTAAACCTAATAATGAATATTTTACAGAAGCGAGGCAAAATAAACGGGGAAAAAAAATAAATAAATAAATAAAGTGAATAATAGAGAGAGAGAGAGAGAGAGAGAGAGCGAGAGCGCGAGAGAGAGCGAAAGAGAGAGAGAGAGAAATGTAAGGATAAAAGAAACTCTGTAGATAGACGTTCAGAAACATTAAAAGAAACAAAAGAGAGAAAAAGGGGGAAAAAAGGGAAACAAAAAAATAAAGATTATCGTGGCTCTTGTACAAGGTGCCGTTGGTTGCGCCGCGTGAAATGATCAAAAAAAAAAAAAAAAAAAAAAAAAAAATTTTGGGGAAAAAAAAAAAAAAAGGACTGGAAAGTGAGGAGCGAGATATTTACACGCCGAGAATGGACATTGTCATTCAGTAGTGAAAATAATTGTATTAAAACAAAAAAAAAAAAAAAAAATAATGAAACGAGAAGGTTTACCTAACGTAATAGTTTATTGATTTGTATTTCATTTCAAATTGTATTATAGCTTAAAGATTATCCTGTACATTGCATACACATACACACGTACACACTCACACACAAGCACTATTGTTTTAAATTGTACGTTTATGATTATTATACGAAGATAAAAAAAGAAAAATAAATAAGGTATACAAAGTATTGAAGACACATGAGAAATTTTATTCTGAATCTCGATCTACGAGAATCTTCGACGATTCCTTTAAGATTTGTAGAAATTACATCTTCAGAGGCATCGAGCCGTGTATATATATGTATATAAATATTTTTTTCCAACGTTTAATAAACTTTTTTTGTATTTTACAACGCATTTTAAACGATATAAATTATACGAATTATTTTAAATGGAGGTAATAAATTTTATGATAATTTTAAAAATTACTTTGTTTTTTTAAGAGGGAAATACACTTTTTTTTTTTTTTTTTTTTTTTTCATAAATCATTCGAATCTAACTGAAAACACGTGTAATATATACAGAAATATACAACTCGATGTCTCGAACGATACGACTTACAGTGGTGTACAGATCAATTAATTCTCGTTTGGTAGGGAAACTTGATAAACAGTCTACATCGATCTGAATCCCGCGATAGCGTTAGACACGCAATAATACGATTTAAACACAATACGAATGGAAAATTCTCTTTATTGTATATACGTATATGATTATATTATTCATATCAGTGTCTCCTTTCAAGAATTTCTAAATTAAAACGACTGTATTACAAATTTTATAGCGATTATTCTATTGATCCCTCCATGTTTTGAATTTAATTGTTAATATTTTTAAATAAGAGAAAATCGTTGTTTCTAATTTACGTATAAAAGATATTATTTTTTAATTTCTCATAAGTATTTTAAAGCTTCAAGATGTAAAGATTTTTTGACAAATTTATTTCAGTTAAAAAATAAGATAAAATATAAAAATAATTGTAATGATATTCAAAATAAATTTCATTTCATTGAAATTATTATATTCCAAATTTAAAATATTTTAAGAATGTAAGTATAAATATTTCATTATTTTTTATTCATATAAATTCCATTTTAATACATGTTGATAATAAAGAAAATCATCTATGTCATATGTATTGAAATATCGATCTCGAAAAATCAAGACGTTTGTTACAGTTTTACAATTTACTATGGTCGAAGAATGTAAAAGACGTAAAAAATACAATTCATCGAAAATAATTCATTCAATAATTAAACTAACAAAACTTATCTGATATTGATATATTTTTATTATCTTCGAATAGTAATATCGTTTTCTAAATTTTAAAGATTATATCTTAGACGAGGTTAGCATAAGATAAGTATGACATCTTACGGAATTTTGTAACTAACGTTTTGAAATACCGACTTCGAAAAAAGCAGAATGTTTCTTACGCCCTCTGCGATTTATTACGGTTAATATTGAAACTATATTCATGTACTCAAAAAAAGTATATATACTTACATATCTATATACTACGAAAAGAATTTCTTTCTTTCTTTCATTATTTCTTATACTTTTTACTTGTGTTACACTTGAGGCATACAATAGATGGCGCTGATATCAATATTTATATACCTTATCTCTATCTTTCTTATAATATTTTATTGAAATTGAAAAATTCGTATTATTTTTATTATATTGTAATAAAAAATACGAACGTAATTTTGAATTTATGGATAATTCATATATTAATCTATCTATAAGTTAAATCTATAATAACAATCAAAAAATCTCATTTTTGTGATTTTTATTGTTATTAAAAAATATGAATTTCATTTATTATTTTTAAAAGTAATGAAATTATATTTCTTATTTTTCATTAAATGAGAAAAATTACAATAATTTTTATAAAGAATGAAAAACTATACTTACTGTGTTTCTTAATACAATTCCAAGTATGTTAAAAATAAAATCATTTAATTCGATTTATGAATAAAATCAAAAAATGAAATATTAATACACTGTAAGACTAGATACTCTTTTAAAATAATAAAAATTATTTTTAATTTATCATCGTTTCTAAGAACAAAAATATAATCTTAAAATTATGTTAGTTTAAAATTTAAAAAAAAAATAATTTAAATCTAATTTTCATTATTATTCTGATATTCTTATATCTCATCAAATTATAACTTTTGATATCATTTATGTATTATTAATTAAAATAAAGTAAAATTTTGACATAGTTTATAATAATAACATAATAAATATATAATTAATGAGGATTTCTTATTGGCACTTTTATTATGTAGTAGTATTTAATAATAAATTATTTTCTATTATGGAAAATATTTATGAATTTTTAAAATATTTTTTAATTCATAAAAAAAAAACAATGTTATTTTGAATAACGAGAAGACAAAAATTATATATCTATAGATTATATATCTTTTACATTTTGCACTTAAAACATAAATTCTTTTTTTCTTTCTATGATTAGTAATTTGCAAAAAATAATTCTTTATATGTTTTAATATATTAAAATAAAAAATTCTCAGAGAAAGAAACAATATAAAGAAATACAAAATAATTTTAATCTTCAAGTGAAAAGAGCATTGAAATAATGAGATCGTCCAATTTTAACTAAACTGTTTTTTTATGAATTTAAATCATGTAACTAATAGTTGCTATCATAATTATATACAACAATTATAAATGTATTTGATCTTAAAAACTTAATACATTAAAATGAACTTTCATTATTCATTAACGAACACCAAAATTTGTACTTTTCTTTAAAGATTATCTTATATATATTAAAAATTGTACTAATAATAAGTATTGATGAAATTAAAATTTATAAAAATATAAAAACATTAACAAGTTTATATTAATCTCATTATATCATACTGGCCATCTTATTCAAAATATATTTTTCAAATTAAATTTTTGACATTAATATATTTCCAAAATTGTATTGTCATTTTCTTCTGTTTTCAATTATATATATATATATATATATATATATCTTTGGATTTTAAATTTATGAAAAAAATTGTTATTGACGATCTTATTATTGTAAGCTCTTTCTTAATGAGCCATACACGCGTAAGACAAGCAAATAAACTCGCCATAGCGGTTTCTTAAAACATGTCCATCCTTTTTTCCATTATTTCCCTATAGACTCGCTAATATTTTTTTACGTTCCAATTCAACAACAACAACGCAAGGATTTTAATGAAAAATTTGTCGATGTATACGTATATATCACAAATGATGATAAAACTTTATTTTTTTACTCTACCAAACGTGTCAGCATCGTTTCTTTTTTTATCGAAGGGCGGGTAGAAAAAGCGAGAAAAAAATTACTAAAGCAAGTGCAACGGAATTTACGAAAAGCAACTACGACATTACTTTTATTACGTCATCCTACGTATAAATACCGAACATCGAATTGTGTTAAGTTTAACTGTTCGGTACGCGTATTTTCGTTTTCACTGCTCAATTACAATAATATAATTGTGTGTATACATATATACACACACGTATTTTTGTGTATATACTTGTGTATGTGTATGTATATTTATATATATATTTATATATATATATATGTATAATATATACCATATATTATAAATATATATGAGTATATACGTGTTCGTGTACGTGTGTTAGTTTTTCTCTCTCTATATTATAAATGTAAAATACTGACATGCATGTACTTGCGGAGTCGTGACTTAAATCGTACGCATTGCTCGCTTCTATGGAACTTGCGAGTATTGTACATGCCTCGCGAGCGAAATTGAGGTGCACAAGGTCGGTCGATTAACAAGAAAGAAAGAAAGAAAGAAAGAAAGAAAGAACGAAAGAAGGAAAGAAAGAAAGAAAGAAAGAACGAAAGAAAGAAAGAAGGAAAGAAGAAAAGAAAGAAAGAAGGAAAGAAGAAAAGAAAGAAAGAAGGAAAGAAGAAAAGAAAGAAAGAAGGAAAGAACGAAAGAAAGAAAGAAAGAAAGAAAGAAAGAAAGAAAGAAAGAAAGAAAGAAAGAAAGAAAGAAATTCGTTCTGCTTTTTCACGCGAGCCTTCAAACACTGTGTACACGTGCGATCCTGTCACGCTCCGATTCCGAAAGAATCATTTTGTACAAGAGTGCTACATTAAAAAATTCTGTCGGGAGAAAAAGAAAAAGTAGACAAAAGTTAGATCGACAGACGAACGAAGCCTGTTTGTTCGAATAAAACATTACAATTGGTCTTGTCTTCTGGAAGAATTTCTATAATTTCACCGGGTCGTTAGACGAATAGGGAGAGTTGTTCCTCCAAAAGAACAGAACTTCCAGTATCGTGATTAACTACGGTTTTATTACCAATGAATCGAAAAATTATCGATGGCAAACAACGATGCACGAACGACGACGAAACACACAGATAGTACAGCAGAACTAAGTTAAATCGATTTAATGAGAATTTCATTTTTATTTTTTTCAACAAAATAATTTAGTTACGACATCGAGTCAAATGGTCTGGAGCTTTCTTCGGAGTTTAAGGGGAATGAATGGACACGAGCAAAGAGGATGGCGCTTATTTTAGACTTAGGAAGGAAAAATGGTAGGAAAAATGTAATAGTGGATAATAGAGATATGATTTGAAAAATCGGCCTTAATTAATTAAGCATTGTTTACACGAAGTCTCGACGAATGGCTGCGTAAGTATATGTGTGTGTTGTGTGTACCGATCGATCGTACACTCGTGGCCTGATTCTATTTTTCCCTTTCCTTTTTTTTTTTTTTCTCTTGTTTCTTGTCTACGTTACGTCTGCGCTACCGCTAATAGTAGTTTAGAGCTAAATATACAACTAGTACCCCTCATATCTCGGGACCCACGCAACGAATTATGCGGCTGAAGTACTTCCATACGAATACACGCTTGCACGTTTATTTTTCATGTTTTTCTTTTTTTTCTTTTTTTTTTTTTTCGCACGCTCCACTCGGCCGTCCTTCTAATATTAATAATGCACGTTGATTGGACGCCACGCACTGCCGAAAGCCATCATTTCATTTTTAACGGTACATTTCTTTCCGTATATTTCACGTTCGCCTTCGGCCAATCTCGGTTTAGATGTTTTCCTTTTTCTTTTTTTTTTTTTTTTTTTTTTCCATTCGACTTTTTGTCGAGAGAAATAATTCGAAATATTTTTGTCGCATGAAGAGTAATACGCACATATGCAGCATACATTACGAATAAAACGTTCCCAAACAAACGCTCATTGATTTCCAATTATATAATTAATGTGAAATCTGTTCGCTACGTTCGTTACACGCTCGTACGTTCACACTTTTGTTATTACATCTTATGTGTTTGCTTTGTACGAAGGAACACGCTACGTACTCGATCAAATTGACGCTCAGCATACTGAGTGAAACGGTTGACGCTTTCCATGTTTCCTTCTTTTAATAATACGTATATGCGCACACGCGTATATGTGTATCTCTCTGTGTGTCATACGTATCTCGGTGTCATCTTCGGATGTCACATCGTCAAGAACGCTCGAGGAGAGGTCAGCACGGCAAATGAGAACGAGCGACCATGATTCTTCTTATGTATCTCAGAGACATGACACACAGCCGAAATTCCCATTATCGTCGGTGGATCGAGGAGGACGACGACACGTTTTAACATAGCCAGATGTATGTATAGCAATTAGTAGCACACTTTTTCACAAAGGGATAAAACGATCGATCAATCATTCGAATGAACATGTACATGTTGTATTATTTTTTTTTAATACGAGTCATCAGAGGAATTTCCTTTCCTTTCTTTCTTTTTTTTTTTTTTTCTTCTAAATCCGTCGATGAAATTATGGCAATGTCCTCCTCACGAAAGAAAATTTAATCTCGACCGACTCTCCTCGAATCGTGCAGTTCATTACCGTAAAACGTATATGTAATATTAATAATTACTAATTATACTTTATTATAAATTAATTAAAGAGCTCTTAATCGTACATGTTTATGTGTGTATAATAATATTAATATTAATAATAGTAGTATGTACGATAACTTTTTTTTTTTTTTGTAGCAGCTTACTCTCTCGGCCGTTTTCATCGAATTCGACGCGCATCGTTCGCCTTCTCTCCAAAATCTTTCTTTCTCGACGAAGGTTCAACGAGACCCTGATGTTTTGGTGACTAGCGGCACTCCCAGATCTTCACCGTTTGATCGACACTACCGGTGACCACGTAAGGATGGCTTTTGTGAAAATCTACAAAAATATGATTATATTAGTAATTTATATATATATATGTGAAAAGTTTTAAGAATATTTTAGAAATATCTGAAACATTGAAGGAAACAGTTTCTAAAATTAAAAATGGTAAGTATTTAAAGATATACTTAAAATGGTAAGTACTTTATATCATGCATTTATATTAAAATCTTTTTATGTAATATAGTACAGCAGAGTTGAATTGTTTATATTCGAATAATAGATTGCATAATTGATTTTATAAAAATATAAATAATTAAACAATCTCAAATCTTTTACTATTTGTTTTTTTTTTTTGTAAAATAAAAAATTTACAAAATTTAATTCTTTATTGAAAATTAATACAAAAAAAGAATCTTGAGAAATGGAACAAATAAATATGTAAAATAAATTAAACGAATAATTTTTTTAATATTTAAAAATATTGAAAGATACGTAGAATATACGATAAATAGTTTTGATAAATAAAAATGGTAAACATATTTTTTTCTTGTATGTTTATCATTTTTTAGATTCATACATTATTGATTTATTTCATTTTTGATATTATGATGGGTTAATCATGCATAAAGATAAGAAAAAGCAAATTATACGATATTCAAATAATGGTAACGCGAAAAATTGTAAGGTTTTTTTTTATTCAACTGATAGATATGCTGATATGTAAGCTCTTTCGATCAATGTATTGTAAAAATAGCACCTCGTTGGCGTGTATCGCATAATCTATAAACTCTATATTATAAACCAAGCTTCTATTACGATATGCAATTCAATTTATTTCAATATTAATCAGAATATAATAAATTACTCCAAACTCTGTTATTTTATACGTTTTCGAGAAATTTGGAAAATCTGAAAAAACCTGAAAATAAGAAAAGAATTGGATAAAAATGAAATAATAAAATATTCTAAACAATCATTCTGAACATATATGCTTATAATAATGGAACAATGACAATGATAATTAGACGAATAGAAAAAGAAAAAAAAATACCTTCTTCTCAGAAAGTTACATAATATGTGGAAAAATTCAATTTGTTATTGGATCTCTTAATCTCTTTAAGTCAGCTAGCTCTGCTGTACTCTATGAGAGTAATTAAATCTTCTTAAATTTCCAAGTGAAAACGTGTTTTGCCAGGCAATTGATGCTCTTTGGAATCGTTACTCACCAACGGAGGTGCAGAAGTGGACGTGCGCTTCAAGGGTTTTCATTACCCGTTTGTTGCGCGTGTCCCAGACTCGCAGGGTCTTATCGTCAGAGGCACTGACGATGAACTTGCCACCAGGATGGAAGACGATGCCGCGAACCCAGTTGTCGTGCCCCAACAGGGCGAAAAGACAAACACCGGCACCGACATCCCATACACGAATTACTTTATCTCGCGAGCCAGATGCGAGGAAAGGTCCTTCGTGGGCACCCTTGTTGTCTGCTCCTGCTGCAGCGTTGATTGATGCTCTTGCACTGTCCGGTGCCCATGCGATACACTCTACTACGTGTTCGTGGTCTCTGAGTTCGACCTAAAAATACAGATATCTTTATATCTTTCCTTTTTTTAATGAAAGCAAATAATAGAAAAAAATTCAAAACTCTTATCGAATTTTCAAATTTATATTTACATTGGTTACTTTGCTCGATTGTGATTAGATTCTTAACTCGCGATTATTTCGCGTGACTCATGATCAACTTAATTCCGTTATATAATATTTTATCATTACGTATTTGCGGTAAAGATTTCATAAATAGAAAAGATTTCATCAATACAGGATAATAATTCAACAATTAATGACAATTATTTCATATATAATAATATTTGACTCGAATAATATTTCATATATTCAAGTGAATATTATTTCATATATAATAATAATTTCATATATAATAATAATTTCATATATAATAATAATTTCAATTACAAAATCAAATAAAATTGTAGAATATTTATAATATTATAAAAGACATTCAAGTATTTAAACACAGAAAAATATCAGCAATATGTTATTCGATATTGATTCAAAATATGAATTAAAATATATTTGCTGATGTAATGGAACATATGTTGTGTGTAGAATCTTTACACGCAAAAATTAAAAGCATACCTTTGTTTCCTTTGTTGCTACGTGCCAAACTCGTACCGTTTGATCGTTCGAGCAACTAGCTATTAATTCTCCGCAAGGACTGACTCTGGCCATTCGTACCCATTCTCTGTGCCCCGTTAACGTTTTAACACAATACCCTGTCGCTACTTCCCATATTTTGATGGTCTTATCCCTAGAGGCGCTCACTACGAAATCCCCTTGTGGCACAAATGCGACAGAGCTGACACTGTGATCATGTCCGTGCATGGTTTTCACGCAGGCGAATGACTGGTGAAAGTCCCATAACTTAATAGACATGTCTGCACTGCATGAGACTAACAGTTTCCCGGAGACGTCGAAGGAAACGTCCTGTACGCTGTCAGTGTGCCCCTTCAACGTTCTTTCGAATTCGCCGCTTTCGAAGTCCCACACCTGGATAAAATTAAATACATGAGAAAATAGTTTTGGTTAAAAAAAACTAACGGGGTGATAATTTATAAAATGAATGAAAATGATTGAAAACGTTTGGTTTCTAGTTCCAAAAATGATTTAAATATTGAAACAATTAATTAATTTCAAATATAAATATTTAAATTGAAAATAAATTAAAATTTTAGTTATTTCAATTATTAATTTTTAAAAAAAATCTTCCTTTTATAGACAAAATATTGTCAGTCGTTATAAACAATAGAATATTTTTCCTAATGTACTTTTTTCTGCATCAAATTTTATAGCACGCATATTACTCATATGTTATTAAATTTTTGATGATATACATTTTCTGTAAACGTATTTTTATGTTTTTTTTTTCTTGCTTATGTATTATTATACAGTGAAACAAGAATTTTTCTCTGAAGAGAATAATTTTACATTTATCAATTTACTTTGTCTTATATGATGAAAAGAAATAAAATTTTGATAGATTTTCTTTTATCATGGAAGATGTATTCTTTTTTAAAATTCTGACAACGCATAATTTTTTCTTTGTTATTTTGATGACTTCACGTTGAATATTCTGATATACTTACAAAGTGAAATTTCATATATATTGAGAGATTCCATGACAATGAATTTCAACCATTCAATTATTCATCTTACTGAAGAACAAAGATAAAAATATTGAATGAACAGGTCAAACGTTATCATTCTTATAACAACACACTCGTTTTATTTTTGCCATCGCTTAATTTCAACGACTCTTTCAACTTCAAAGTCAATGATTCTACCTTGATAGTGGCATCTTCGCTGGCAGATACTATAAGACTAAAAACCGGATGGAAAATAACTCTGTTGATAGGAGCTCTGTGTCCAGTAAGACTGTATTTTTCGGGTGGCCTTGGTATCCACTCGGATGGTGATCGTTTGCTACGTGTTGGTGCCCCTTCGATGAATTCCTTCTCAGCTTCAGAGAGTTTGGATTCCAGTTCCATTACCTACAATGTTTAAAATAATAATACATTGTTGTCTTTTATCTTATTTATAATAATTACTTAATATATTGTTATATACAAAAATTTTAATATAATCTCTGTTTCACACTATTTAAAATTATGAAAAATCATTAATAAAAATTTGAATTAATCCATAGTCTTATAGAATCAAAGATAGTCATTTTTTTTTTTTATATAATTTTATTCTTTAATGACACATTCGCTGCAATTTATGCACACGTTTGTGACGATTCAATTATCTAATTCTTGGTAACGTTGTTGACGCAACTGTTTTTTTTTTTTTTTTTACTTATATATGTTTTGACAAAATAAATAATAAATAAATGCAGAAATTATATTATAGTAAAAAGTAATAAATCCCTTTAATTTTTAATAATTAAAATTAATCCTAGAAATTATTTCAAACTAGAGATCTTAATTAAAATAGATGGCGCAATATATTTTCACAATTTTCTAAAGAAGATATTTGCATTTTTATCTCTATTTCATATTTCATTTTCCAAATAATTGTTGCCAAGTTGTATTCTTCTTGTTAATGCTGAAAAAAGAAAACTTACCATTCGTTAAAAACTTATTAATGAAATTGATTAATAAATTTTAAAATTTCAAAATATATAATATTTTACCTTCTTTTGCAAGCGTATGACCGAGGTCCACTTCTTTTCCAGAAGACCTCCATATTTTCTCTCCACTTCCCCAGGCATATCGGCTTCTTTCTTAAACGCCTCAAGCGCATCTTGATAACCATTGGTACTGAGATAATCCGCAATCGCCTTATTTCTGAAAAAGCACATTAACTATAGCATATCTTTGAAGCCAGTTAAACAATGCATTTGTCCTTGTTAAAACCAGTTTTAAGTAGTAAGCATAATTCATTAAACAGCGTAACGTATGAAAACTTTTTCCTGAACATTAATTATCGATGCAAAAAAAATAATCCACTCGATTGTTATTTTTATGTTGTATTACTACTATTCGACATAAAAACAAGTTACGTCATTCAGCAAATTAAAGAAGAAGAATTTTTCAAAACATTTGTTAATCATTTTAATTTATTCATTGATCAATTTATTTTCTTTCTTTTTTTTTCCATTTGTAATTATTTTTATATTAATTAAATTTAAAATAATATAAAAAGTGTTTTAAATATCATATTAAGAAAATCGATATAATAACAATCATAAAATAAGTATATATTAAGTGGATATTTAATCTTATCGTATTTATTTGTTACAAATCAATTTACGTTAAATGGTTTTAACGTACTACTTTTAACAACCAAATATAATTTATTATAATTAGGCGATGGATCTCTATACGTATTCAATAATCCGTTAATTCATAATGTGAATCTTAATGACATCCTTTTGTTTACAAATGAAACATATCGTCATTGAAATTCTCTCAGCAAGACGAAGATGAGATCTTTGTGTTAGCGGAAGTAACAGAAGTACTTGAACATTCTCCGTTAGCCTCATTTTGTGAAACACACTTTCTTCGTCAACGTGTGAAATAACGCCGCGAACTTGCACGTATCATTCCGCCTTCACAGTACAGAATGTTTCAGAATTATAATATTTATATTCTACGTAATATTTTCTTATAATTGCGTAAATTTTTCTATTCTTATATTTATATAACCACAATTTATTTTTTTATTTGCAATTATTTATGTAGAAAGTTCTATAATAAAAAATTTTCAATGCTAATTTATTATATTTATATATTATTTATGGTATATAAATATAAATGATGATTATAAAATAAATATAAAAAATAAATATAATAAATTAATAATAATTAAAATTAATAAATTTAATAAATTAACATGTAAATGTATAGAGTATATTTTTCATAAAAGAAATTCAAGTTTCTTCTCATAAAATAAATGTTCCCAAACTTTTGAATCGTAGTGTACACATAATTCACTTCCTTGCACGTGTAGTAGACGTATAGAGTGTCTATCAGACATCGTTCTTACGTGCAACGCTTGCGAACAAGTTACATTCATATCTCTAAAGAATTTGAAATCTAACGCAGCGCTATCTCGCGGCTAGCCAAGTATCGATATAGTTTTCAAGATATAATGACATTTGGCTAACAACTGTTTGCAAGCTAGGCCGATACAATAGAGGGCACAGGTTGAGTACGTGGGAAAGAGATTGAAAGTCGGGCAGAATTATGTCGGGGTGAAAGGCCTGAAGTCGGTCGTTCGTCTCTGTTCACCTGCTTCCACGTGATAGTACGTGGCGAATTATCACTATAAGTTTTGTTCCGCACCGTTCAAATGCCGGCAAACAAAGTAAACACAGCCGGAAAGCGTGATCGATTCTCTTTCAGCGATCCTAGAGATCCTTTCACTTCATCGAACGGGACAACATAATAAATTACCATCGCTATACGAGAAACCACCACTTTACTGTAGTATTCCGGGTTGGCCATTTTGCTAATTATTCACGAGTGTTTTAGGAACCGGCCGTCTCTCGAGCAGAGAAAGTTACAGGTGAGCGAAAACATATTCGTCGAACCGTCACTCGAGGCAATGGAAAAAAGGAAAAAGAAAAAGATCGATCCATTTTTTGATCGAAATTCACCAGACTAAAAATTACTATACTTTATAACGGACAAGTCAGACAAAAATTTTCGTCGTTTATGCTAGCATAAATTTCAAGGATCTCGAGGGTCGCCCGACTAACGTGATCTTCTTTTATACGAAGACGATCCCTTTCCCACTCTCTTTGCCTCTTCTTTTTCTATTTACCTTACACACCCGTCAACGGGTATCGCGTACACGAGATATAAGGTTTCCTCGCAGGAACGAGAACTGCACTCGTATATACATACGTTTAGATTCTTTTCATGAGTTTTGTTTACATACGTTATATTCGAATTAATTTATTTCGCGAACATATCCTCTATTTCAAAGTTCTATTTAATTAAATTAGAAAAAAATTTTATTGTGATCACTATTATTAAAAGATTATGTAAATATATGATTAGATACATAACCTCAAAATATTTCCATTAATCCATCGAAATTAATTATGGACTTTGCATTCCTCTCTCTTAAATGTGAATTATAAAATGTGTGAAATAATTCGTGACTAAGTATTAGATAATATAGCAAGAGTAGTATATTATCTAATATTTTACATATACATTATATATATATATGTCATAAGCATACGCATGTCAATAATAATACTAGGTTACATTTCATTACAATTTTATTGTACAAATAAACTAAACCAAGATTAAATAAAAAAATATGTTGAAAGAAAGATCTTAATAAAATATTATATATATATATATATATATATAATAATTATTATATTTAAAAATTATATATTTGTAAAATAAATGATAATCTATTGCTGAAAATTGATAATATTGTCTTAAAACAGAAAAATAAAGTGGAATATAAGAGTTTAATGCCATAACAATAATTACAAATTTTATATAGAAAGATACATGTAATTCAAATCTTTTTCAATAATTTTATTACCAATCATCTACCACCATAAAACGCAATTTTAATTTCTTTCTATTGCTTTTTGCAAACGATTATATTTTCTATTCGCACTTAAAACCTCTGACAATCATCAGTACATAAGTAAACGTAGTCACGGAATAAATTCAGATAATCAACGCTGTTTGTATCATTAAATGCTTATTATCATTTAATAGGGTATATATATGCTTATAAGATAACTCAGATTAATTTCACTGCAATAAAACCAACCAGCGCGGTTATTAACTACATATGTAAATTTCAAATCTTAATTATAGCTTCATATAAATCGGAATAAGAAGATAGTAAATTTTAGAAAGTAATTCTTATTTCAATCAACGAAAGTTTTCCACTTCAACGAGCCTATTACTTTTGTAAATAATTTTCTTTCTTTAAATAATAATAATATAAGAAAAGAAAAAAATTAGATAACAAGTATCGATTGTGATGAAATGTATAGTCGATCTTGCCAACAAGTTAATTTTGTGGCAAACGACCAAAACAATCTATTTATTCGTAGGTAACCTTTCTATCATTTTAAGAGAAATATATTATTGAAAATTATTGCAACATTTTCGTGGTAAAAGATGATAACACGATTCTTTTCATAGTCAAACGTATAAATTTGTTTCTCTTTGTGGTAAAAATGAATCGTGTTAGATTAGATTAGGTTAGATATAATTGTGTAATAATCGCTTAAATCGCTTTGAACACAAACGTGTTCTTTTTCTTTAAGACAAACGAAATGTGCTTTTATTATTTTTCTAACATACGTCGAAAGTTTTACGAGTCTAGTTTTTATGAGAAGATCAATAAACATATAAAAAGTTTAAAAAATAATTATTTGCAGATGCAGATTATTACATAATAAAAAAATAAATTGATGTATGAATTAATTTTTTTTTTGTCAATATAAATTTAAACGTGTTCTCTTATGATTTTTCTTCTTTTCATAGTTTTAGTAAAAATATATATGATTTCATGAAAAAATTAATTATATAATAATGTTATAAAAATTATAACGAATTTTAAATCGGAATAATAGACACAAATTTTATGTAAATCTATATAAAAAAAAAAAAAGAATTTCGACTCGAAGGAAATGATCTGTTATCAAGAAAAAAAAATCGTCTCTTATCGTAATAATATCCTGTCACGCAAGATAAATCAGTTTTTTCTATATGAAAAGCATGTACACGTTAAAAATGTCACTTCTGTCGGGGGTGCAATTCTTTGTTCCCTTCGAACATCCCTTCGAACATCCCTTCGAACATCCCTTCGAACATCCCTCGAAACCCTTTACACAATAATACGTATCGATCGCGTTTTACACCACTTTCACCCTTCTCCCCTATTATTTTCCACTTTCTTATATGGTTAACGAAATAGAATAGGAGAAACGCTAGCAAATGAAGGGGGAGGAGCTTTATCGATTGCTAGCTCTCATTGTAGCCAACCGATCTTTAACTTTCGTACATACACACTCGACACTGAGAACTTGACGTGCACACTCCCGCTTAAATATTTTAAAATTTATTATACGGTCGCGTCATTTTTTTTTTTTCGTTATTATTGCTCATTCGATTAAAAAATCGAATGAAACTTTTTTCTTAAGATTGAATTTTATTTCATTTTTTAAATTTTTATTTCACTTGATGTAAACATCATTTCTATTAAAAATATTAATTTCGATTACTTTTCATTGTAAAAAACGAATCGATGGATTCGAAGTGATATCAATTAACTGGTTATTCAGTGATTGATTTCACCATTGCTTTCATGCTTTTCGCATTAATAATCTTGTTTCAGCAAAAATAAATAAATACTTCATCAATTATTTCGAATTTTAAATCTATTACTTCCTGGTAACGAAAGCTAGTCATCGACAATCTATTAATATTCCTACCTAGCAATTTTCTTGTTTCCCGGATTTCAATGTTTTAATGATCGTTTTAATTCAGTTTTTACCAAATGCAAACAAATAAGGAAGTGAAAAAGAACAAGTTATCGATTACACGACAAGATCAATGATCGTTTTAACAACGAGGCTTAAGTTTCACTTTAACTCGAAAGATGATACACCGGAGCTTGATAAGAGGTATCGTAGATGATATTCTGAGTGGCCACCTGTAATGAAACCCTTTATCATATTATCTATCTTCTTCGTCTATATATTTATTCCTTTGTTTCCAAGATCTCGTTCTTTAATGTGTATGGCGCACCTTTAACCAGCCACTTCTGAGTAATTTTATTTGTAAAAATTTTCAATAATCAGATGTTTTTGAAATTATGTTTCTAAATATTTAAGTATTGCAATTAATCCACACCAGAAAATAATCTGATAATTATTTTTCCTTTATTTCGTCTTTGAATCGCGATATTTTTTTATTACTCGTGTTCGAAACAGTAAATCAATAATTTGAAATGTTCTTAACCTTTGAGGACGTAAACATCTCAAATTCGAATAAATTTACTTATACTTTTCTAGAGTTTTCATTTTTAATCATACATCGTTCCTCGACACATTCTCTAATGCATAATAATAATAAATCAAACAAAAAAAATTATGAAGCATATGTTAACAGAAAAGATATCTATAAATTTTGCATATAGAATGCTAATTCAATTACTCTATCATTTTTATTTTTAGACTACCGTTCTCTATAGCTTCGATAAATTATTTCTACATCATTTTCCCACGATACATTCCATTCGTTCGATATATTGTTCTTCAACTCTCTTTCGCAATATCGTAAATATCATTTTGATTTTTAATAATATTTTTTAGTTTCTCTATATGTCCTTTTATTTCGTAACACAAGAATCTATTAAAATATATAATTATTTTATACCGGTTAATATTTATAAAAAGAATACTAGAGCAAATCCATGTACGTTCCCATTCATATTATACGACATTGAACGCTCAATTTCTCTACTATGTGATCTAACCTAAAAACAATTTACCTATGTATTTGTCGCAATCAAGATTGTAACATTCATTACATACAACACATTCCCTGCATATATTATATCATACTTCGATTTTATATTATGACCTACTTAAATGCCGCGTAACACTGTGTTCTTAGTCTGTTAATTGTAAAATCACAATTTTTCGTCCGTGATTCATTCGTTCCGCGTATTATTGCGAAATCGTAGCTGTATTCGTAAACGTGCATAAAATTTCATGGAATAGCACGTGCAGTTTGACGCAAAAATTCTCGAATGATTCGACGATACAATTAGAATTATTAAATTGTAATTATATGGATAATTAAAATTGAAAATGTGTTGATAAAAATATTCGCAGCATAATTTTAACAATAACAAGAATAAAAAACATATACGATAATTCTATCTTTTTACGTTCTAAAAGACAATGAAAACGATTTCCAATGGACTGGTGTTCAGCTCTTTAGTCATTATTATCTATCCTCTGAGAGGTTATGTTCGTTTCGAAGAATAACAAATGCATATATATTAAGTACTTAGACGATGAATCAAATAAAAAAGTAATCATTAACGAACAATATTTTTTACAAATATATATCCAACTATTATATACGGGATAAATAAAATTTAGTAGAATTTCTTATAGAAAATTCTACATCAATTACGTATCACTTCCGATTGAGACATACCATCCTACTTAAAGAAAGACCAATGAAAACACATGTCTCAGTTCCCCCACTATAGCTCTAAGTGCTACACAATTAACCTATTGCTTAACATAATTTTTACAAATAGTATAACTAAGAAAATATAACGGCAGAAATTAGATTAAAGTTAAAGAAAAATGAAAAAGATTAAATAAAAGTTCACAGATAACTTTCATTTCATATATGCCACATACGTTCCTTAAAAAAAAAAAAGAGGAAAAAAAAACGAAACAAAGATAAAGGAGAAAACTTGAAAATTTATCTCAAGAAATTATGACCGTATGATCCCCTGTCCCGGAATGTCCATCGCGTATCCCTACATTTCCTCGCTCCTGGTCATTTCTTTTTCTATGTGGTGGCGGGCTGTCGGCGGCGTCCACCGGTTCTTCGACGCGTTATCGATCCCGCTATTCGCGCGTGCTCGAGAGACGCCCTCTCCTGCGGCAGCTGCCGCGCACCACACGCGTCGATCCACGACCGATTTGACGTCACCAGAATTAGTCAGCATCGATCGACATTACGATCGATGGTGTCCCGTTTTCCCCATTAATAACTTGACAAGGGAAGTGTATCGCGAATATCGACCATCCTTCGGCTCTGCTGTTGCTCTCTTTCGAGGAGAAAATTATGGAAAACACAACCATATTTTTCGTCACGCTCACTTATTGATCTTTGACCATTTCTGTCTTCGTTTCGCCCGTCTCCGATTAATCGACCATTCGAGAGTAACGATAAGGTTTCGGGCAACGATGATGTTAGTTGCTAGGTTAGGTTAACTCTTTTCATGATCTATTGCTTCGTCCGATAAAATGAGAAAATTTGATTTAATTAGATAAGACAAATGAGATAATTTTGAATTTATTGTATATCACTTTCGATTTAACTATCGTATTCAAAGAATTAATACTACAATTTTTTTTTATAAATAATGTGAATAAATTAAAAATTCGAAGATTCCACATGTGTATATGGAAATTTAAGGTTAGAAGAATTTAAGGTTTCGAGTGACAATGCTAGTTGTTAGGTTAGATTTAACTCTTTCGATGATCGATTGTTTAGATAAAGCGATAAAATTTAATTTAAAGATTGCCGATAATGATAATTAGATAAGAGAAATGAAATAATTTTGAATCTATTATATGTATATCACTTTCGATTTATCTACTATATTCTGCATATTCAGAAAATTAATATTATAACTTCTTTTATAAATATTGCGAATAAATTAAAAATTTGAAGATTCCATCCATCCATTAAACATCTTACAAAATTTTCCATCTACTTAAGATTTTACTATGACGTCACTATTACGATATATGTATATAAAAATGTAAGGTTAAAAGGGTTAAAATTGACATTTCATATTGATATTTTGCAGAGTTGACATTTTGTAGAGTAAAAGAGAAGAAATTTATTTTTGTGACTTTTGTTTTTGTTTGCTTTATATAATGTATAAATTTTATTGCTTAATCAATAATATTGCTAATCAAAATAATATTTTATCGAGTATGTACAATATTATTATTTTTATTTTGAAATTCATTTTTTGAAAAAAATTTTATTCGATTTGTAATTTATTTTCGTTTAAAAACTTCTTTCGCAATATCTTCATGAAGCGTAAAAACGTTTTCTGGTTCAAGTACAGCGATGAAAGTTCCGAAAGTACATACATACATGTATGTTTAACGTTGATTTTCAAGCAGTTTCAAAAACTATGTTTAAAACGAAGAAGAAAAATATTGAACAAGAAAAATATAGAAAGAAATTTTATTTTTTTAACACTTTCGTTAAGTTTCTCCTGTAACACGAATTTCTTTCTTCCTATTCCATTTCCTATTACCGTATTAGAAACACAACGAGTCATAATTGATGATGACAATTAATTCACGTATTGATGATCTTGAATGAGACTAATGTTTACAGATCATTTCATTCGAATTGAATGAATGAAAACGTATTATACAAAATAAATCATGTTGTTTGAGACTATATCTTGTTTTGTACTAAATATACTAAAAATAATATAATATAATTATCATTTGAATTTGGAAATAATTATTATTCGTGCAAACTTTTTGTTTGTATTATATTGTTTCTTTCTAATTTTAATAAAATATTTTACGAAACATTAAAAAAAAATAAAAGGAAATAAAAGAAAAAAGATACTATAGATTTCTGTTTTATCTCATTTCTGTCGTTATAAAAATAAAAGAAAAGAAAAATTGTGAGTGAATATGCAATAAGGCCTTTTGTTCTCGTGTATTCAACCAAGATTAATGTGACCATACTAGATAAAATTTCGTTGCGTTGCAATCCCTTTCATCTTTTCCTTTTCTCGCGGATAATTTTGCGATGATACTACTTATTATACTCGACTTGTACTTTCCTGCATAACAATTGACATAATATGTGCTCTGTCACATCATACTCCTCTCTGCTTTACAAATCCCTCAAGAATTCTCGTTAAAATTAACATACATTACATATTCATCGATACTTTACTTTGCATCAGTTTACAAACAATTGCTCGCAATATATATCTCTTGCTAGTCTTATATGTTTTAAGTTATCATTTCTTCTATTCTATACAAATTAGAAATAAATATTAGAAATATAACGATTTTCCTTGATGAAATATTCTTATTTCAAATGTACCAGAGCAAAATATTTTATGAAATGTTTAAGATTAAATTATAAAATTATATTAGTAGTGTTCAATTGTTAAATCCAAACGATTGTAACTAAAATTCTAGGATTATTGTACGATCAGGAATTGATTTATCGTCGTTTCTAGCCAATTTCTCAAACTATAATCAAATATGAATCATCCAAGATTAAGAAGATCGAAGAAACTGATCAAGTTCCTCTCCCCTTATCGTAGTTCATAGCTGGTGCTTCTTCATTAATAATTAGTATGCATTGCGTGTTACAAAACACGCTCTGGCTATAATCGCACGATAAAAATTTCACGTAGCATATTTCTTTTCCGCAGATGTTTTGCAATAACAATATATACATCTTTACTGTTCAATTTCGATCCTGTTTAAATTATAAAAACTTTTTATCTAAATGTTTTTAATCATGTTTTTAAGAGTAAAATAATAATCTTTGTTTTCATAATATTTCAAAAATATGCAGAGATTACCTAAAGAAATGTTTTAGCAAGCATAAGTAAATATGTGAAACTTCATCTTTATCTAAACTTCATTTATTGGAAGGAACAATAATTGTATAAATTATTTATTCCTGGAAAGGTTTAAGTGCAATAATCCGATAATTTTTTAGTGAATAAGATAAACGTGAAAATTTTAAACTTACAACTCCTCCCTCTGACGTTGAGACAGCACCATTTTCATGATCCTTGCGTGTGTTTATTGGCTGATACTCAACAGTGATTCAAATGAGCGCGACTAGATTCTTCTCCAGTCAGCTCCTGATTAGTTTAATACCCAGCCATCGACATCGCCTATAATAAAACATAAAATGTTCAATTTTTACTTGAATTCCACATTAATAAATTAATAATATAAGAATTAAAAATTATAATGATGCTGCATTCTAAAAAAAATAAAAAAAAATGTATATTAAATATGTATTATAATGTACAACATTTATAGGATAAAAGAAACGATGGAAGCGATAGTGAAATATTTTTTTTAAATTTCATAGAAATTTTCTTTAAATATTGTTATGAATAATCAACATAATTATTAAATATGATAATTAATAATTATATAGATTCTAAAATTAGATTCCTTATTGAAAGTAAAATTAATTAAAAAAGAAATGAATAAATAATGCTAGAACTAGTATAATCAAATACTAGTTTTTTCTTGAATATATTGTACATTTTTGTATATTTTTGTATATTTTTTGTACGTAAAAATATATATTTTTCTGCATAATTTTTCATTTTGAAATTTCTCATAAATAGATTAATATTTATAATTTATTAAAAGAATGAATATGAAAGAATTTTATCAATTTTTATCAATCGTTAAAAATCAAAATTTATATGTAACACCATATATCTTAATCTTCAAATGCATTCACTAAGAATTGATAATCTATTATAAAATTCTTTTCACTTTGATTTTTATTAATTATTATTGTATACACATATTATTGAATGTGTTTGTAAAATTTTATTTTTAAGACAATTATTATATATAAAATTTCTATTTTTTAATGTAAATAATAAAATATAAATCAAATTTTATAATGCTTTTGACGAAAAAAAAAAGAAAAGATTAGTTAAAAAATATTAAGATAATAAAAAATTTGAGGATATAATTCAAAGGATGTAAACAATTCACAAAACAATTAACAATAAACAATTCACATAAATAAATAAAAAAAAATATAATACGAAAAAAACAAAAATGAATTCAACTACAGAAACAAAAAATTAAAAAAAAAAAGTTTTTCTTTTTTATTCAATAAAAAAGAAGAAAGAAATATATAAATATATATCCTAAAATTTTTAATAACAACAATAATATGTGTAAATTCTTATAATTTATTTTACTTTCCATCAATGGAAAAACAAAGCGATTTAACAAAAAAATATAATTTATTTTTTTTACTGCTAAAACAATGAGATTATTAACATTATAAATTTAATTAACATTGTAATTTAATTATAAATTAAAAATAAAAATTACATTTTTTTATTAAATCAAGATTTATGAAAACAATCATTTTTTTTATTTTTTTATTATAAAATTAAAAAAACATAATCTCGATGAAGAAATGATTTTATTGGATTATTTGCATTATTTGTATTTTATTAAAAAAAAATTGATATATGAAGAAAGAAAAAAATATAGCTGCGTTTATAAATATTAAATTTAATTTTTCGTAATATTTATTTCACAGTTAAAACAAAAACTTCATTTAAAAAGTAAATGAAATCATTTTTCTTGAACAAAACAATTTTAAAAACACTATATTTAATCGAATTAATAATATTAATAATAAAGAAAATTTTTATATAAAATAATTTTATACGAATACTATCACAGAAAAAGAAACATTTCTATACTTTTCTACATTTGCATAACGATTGCACAATAATTGTTAAAGTATAGTATGTATTCGTAAACAACATTTGTAAACATCAACATATATATATTCATATTTTTCACTTTGTTACACTAATTCTTTATTTGTATAAATTTGTATATTTATATTTTAAATGAGATTAAACGCATTATTTAAACACAAATCAATACATTTTTATCTATGTCATAAATTATAAGTGTTATTACAAAATTTATCTACAAACAACGTACAAGAATCAGAATATTGATTATATTCTCTACGAAACCCACCCTCGCAATGCAATCCGTGGAATGACATAACATTTGGCAAAATACGCGGGCCATGATCAAATAATAGAAACGAATTGGACAATGATGTTTAAATGACGATTACAAAAGTCTAACGTAATTGGTGAGTACGAAATGAAATCAACCAATTAGAATGAACGAATCGAAAGCGGCCATTTTTCCCCGGTAACATTCGAGTTTGATCGACGACTAAAAAACTTTTGAGAACAATCTTTCGATTGTCTTCATAAGAAATCTTGTACGCAAAGAAACGTGTCATGAGAAGAAATACTTTAAGAGGAAGGACCTTGACAATCGAGAAAGCGCGCTGCGTCGTCGCGACGCTTTATGACGATGCTTATCGGCGCGATGCGCCGTAATCGATAAACCGGCTGTCCGCCCACCCTCGTTGCTGTGTATTTCACCTTACGGTGCATTCAAATATTCATGGCGGCCTCCTTTAATTTTTTAATCCAGTCATGTTAATATATTCTATAAAAACTTATTAATTTTAAATACATCTGATTGACAACATCTGTACTAAATACATTATTTTTTTTGACATTTATTTTTCGTATTTATTTTATTATACGAACCAACTTATATAATTTGATAATACTAAATTTTTGTAATAAAAATTTATCTTTCTTAAATTGAAGAAATTTGAATTTATAATGAAATTTTTATAATATTAAAAAAAAACACAAATATTATTTCAAACAGTATTGTATCATTATATCATTGTATCATCAATTGTATCATTGAAAAATTGTTTTCTAATTTGTGAATTTAAATTAAAACGCATTTATATGCAATATTAATGACCAATGATTTTTTTGTAAGCTATTTCCGGGATCATCAGTACGGGTGAGCGACTCTTGGCCTTCTCGACCCCGCAACTACACTACGACAATCTACCTGTAGCTTCACTTTTCTTAACTAATCTACTTACATATTAGAATGAAAAATTAAGTTAAGATCATTGATTGATCCAAACATCAAAGCGATTTATTTTTCGCGCGTTCAAAAAGATAAAATAAAATTCATTTACTAATAATGCTAATTTTCAAGAAAAATATGCATAACTTTAAAAAACTTCAACTTATGATAAGAATTTATAAATAATCATTGCATTTGTATTCCACGTAGGAATATCAATAAGAATTTAATTCGATGACAGACTCGACAGCTGATCGCTGACTCGACAGCAACTACAAACAACGTCTGTCAAAAGATGCAATCAGAACATTATTGTAGATTACTTGACAGATAAGATAATGCTCAAGTCTAAAGAAAATGAAATTCAGTATAAAAGTTTACGTACGATGGCTCGGCAGTTGCGACAAAGCGGTTGTACTACCGCACAACGCAAACGGTCATTCGCGAAAAAATCAATTCGAAGTGACGTGCAACATGTATGTTGAATATGTGTGGAACATAGTTGGATGACTGATTGAAAGTCATCAACCAGAGTTTAAATCGGTTTTTGATCAAGTATACACTGTCAGACAATGTCACATCGGTCAAAAAGCGCTGCTACAAAATCGTCGGACGAACGCGGAACAACCGTTTGTTGTAAATCGTGCACGGCCATTTTGCTAGAACCTGTCACGTCTGGTTGCTGTAGATTTTAAAGTCAGATCAACCTATGAAGTAACGAATACAATGTGGGAATCGAAGCTCACATATTTAGCATTCGATACTCACTCTTTTTGTCGGAGTAGTAATAACCGGGATCCTTTGAGATCGGAAAAAAAATCACAGGAAAACCGGACGAACACAACCACCGAAGAACTACTGGAGATAACTTCTGCGATAGGACTGTCTCACAAGGTGGCGCCTGTGAAAGTCTTCTTTCTTAACGCATGCGCTAAATATCGATGTCACTAATCTCTCACTGCCCGAGAGAACTATATTTCGACTATTGTAGTCACTAGGGAATTTTCCATTAATTGCATTTACTTACATATTTCTATAAGAATTTTAGGGAATCTTGAACACACGTAAATATTTAACAAGCACAACCTTTTAATATTGTAAATAGTTGTATATAAAAAAAAGAAATAAATAAATATTTATAATATTAAACAAAATATTAGTTTTTATCGAAACATTTTTGAAAATTTAGAATTTTGAAGAGGTTAAGGTAATACATCAACAAAAAATCATCAACAATGTAAACATTAACATAATATTGATGAAATTTTATTGTCAACAAAAATTTATTTACATTCAATATTGTTAAATTTATTGTTTATAAACTTTTTTAGGTAAGATTTAAGAATAAATTAAATCTGTTACGTCGTCAACCGGCGACGTAACCTATTTCTACTTATGTCTATCTTTACATGTTTTGTAAATTTTAAATTTGTAGAACTATACTATTTAAAGAACCAAAATCGAAATTTTGATGGCTTTTTCACAATCAAATTCGAGAGGTAATATTATTTATAATTATTATTATCTTTTTTTTTTTAATAAAAACGAAATCCTTACTTTCACTGATTGCAGAATTACAAAACAGAAAAATTTTGGAAGAATTGCAATTAAAAAAACAAATGCTTTTAAAGCAAGGTGTGGCACCAACATTGAACACATCATTAGTAACTTCAACAGGTTCCCCTTCTAATTTGGTAAATATATATTTATATATTATTTTTGTTTAAATTACAAAATAGAATTATATATATTTTTAAATATTTTTATTTCTTAGCCTTCTACACAACCCTCTGATGGTGTTGCTATGAGTGCATCCCAAAGAGCTGCCTTACATAACGCACATGCAGCATCATCAGGATATTTTGTAACACAGGATTCTTCTTTTGGCAATCTTATTTTACCAGTTCTTCCTAGATTTGATACTAAATAAAGAACTTAAATTGCATAATTTCAAATTATATAAATGACTATGCAGACTTTAAATTGTGTGATGAAAGTGATTTTGAACTATATATGTTTTTTTAAGTGCGCTTCTTATAGTGAAATTAAAGCATAAGGTGATAATTAATAATTAATCAAAATGGCTAACATTCAACTTCGTGAATTAGAAGAATATTTACAACAGTTGGATGGATTTGATAAACCAAAAATATTACTTGAACAATATTGTACTAGTGCTCATATTGCATCACGCATGTTGTACTGTGCTGAAGTTCAATTTAATGATATAGAGGGACATTCAGTAGGTGACTTAGGTTGTGGGTGTGGTGTTTTATCACTTGGGGCACAGATGCTTGGAGCAAGTCATGTAATTGGTTTTGAAATAGATTCTGATGCACTTAAAATTCAATCTAAAAATTGTAATGAAATAGATTTATTTGTGGAAACTGTACAATGTGATGTATTACAATATTTACCAGGTAAGCTTGTAAATATATAAAATTCATTTATAAAAATTTATATAAATTTTTATATTATTATATTACAGGCCGATTTGAAAAGTACTTTGATACAATTATTATGAATCCACCATTTGGTACAAAACATAATACAGGTACAGATATGAAATTTTTAAAAGTTGCAACCAAATTAGCATCAAATACTGTGTATTCATTACATAAAACAAGTACCCGTAACTATATTCTTCAGAAAGCTGCACAATATGGAGCCAAAGGCAAAGTTATTGCAGAACTGAGATATGATTTACCAAAAGCATATAAGTTTCATAAAAAAATGTCTGTAGATGTTCAAGTGGATTTTATACGATTTGAATTAAATTACTAAATATTTTCATGAAAAAATATTGTACATCTTAACTAATTATTCGAATTTTAGACCTTGAGCTAACGGCATTTCATTTCCATAATTAATAGTTATAGTGGTACGTCGCATGTAATTCTTCCATGCATCACTTCCACTTTCGCGACCACCACCTGTAGCTTTTTCTCCACCAAATGCACCACCTATTTCTGCTCCACTAGTTCCAATATTAACATTTACTATTCCACAATCTGAACCATGAGGACCCATCCACTACACAAAAATATTTATATTTCAACATTATCATAATTTAATATAAACAATATATATAATTACATACTTACCTGAAATATATTTCCTAAATTTTTGGTAAATAAGGAGCTGCTTAATCCTTGTTGTACATTATTATTAATAGCAATAGCATCTTCTAAAGAATTTGCTTCAAGAACATATGCAATTGGTGCAAAAGTTTCTTTTTGAACAATTCCAGTATTAGGTGATAAACCAGAAATAAGTGTTGGTTCAACATAAAAACCAACTCTATCTATTTGTTTTCCACCGAATTCAATTTTGCCACCACTTTCTATAGCAGTATTTATTGCTTCCTAAAAATCGTACATTTATTTCTTAATATAAAATTAAAATTTTCATAGAAATATTTTTATTTATTGAAATAAATATATTTAAAATAAATTTATTAAAAATAATATTTAAAAAATTTTAATTATTTGGATTATTTCTTATGATATTATTTTTTTGGTGTAAATTGAGATATTTAGGAGCTTATATAAAAATATAATATTAAAAAAGAAATTGAAAAATAAAATTTTCATATTATATACTATATACAAATTTCATACTAGATAGAATATAATAAAAATATATATTACCTATAATAAAAATATATTACCTTATATGCATCAACTGCATTTTGATTAAGCAATGGTCCATATAAAACATTATCATCTAAAGGATCTCCTATTCGATCCAAAATACTCTTCAATGCAATTTTCAATTTTCCTATAATATTTGCATATTATTTATTTAAATATTTCTTGTACTAAATTTAAAATTCATTAATATTTTAATTAAAATATATAATTTTACCTAAAAATTCATCTTTTATTTTGTTATGAAGGATTAATCTTCTAGTAGCTGTACATCTTTGTCCAGTTGTTGCTGTACAAGAGAACATTGCTGCTCTGACTGCTAAATCTAGATTTGCATCTTCATTAACTGTTATAAAAAAAATTCATATACTATAATTATGTAAGGACGATATAACTATTATTATAGTTTTATTTACCTATCAATGCATTATTGCCTCCTAATTCTAACAAACATTTTCCAAATCGTTCTTGAACTTTAACAGCTACATTTCTTCCAATTTTAGTACTTCCAGTAAATGAAATTAAAGGAATACTAGAGAAAGAAGTAGTAATATATTAGTATAATATTATATTAAAAACAAAAAATTTATCAAAATTTTTGTATTTTACCGTGTATCATTAACAAGAGTTTCACCAACATCTGATTCACCAGTTATTAAACTCGCAACTGCACCTGATACACCATTTCTTTCTAATACTTTTGAAATAATCTTTGTGGTTGCAATAGAAGTTAATGAAGTAGTAGGTGCTCCTTTCCAAACAGATGTATTTCCACATACCATTGCTATTGCACTGTTCCAACCAAATACCTAAAATATTTTTTTATAATTTTAATTATTTTTTCAATTTTTATCATTTATTTTTAAGTTCCACATACTGCAACAGGAAAATTAAATGCAGAGATAATTCCAACAACTCCAAGAGGATTCCATTGTTCTAAAAGTGCATGATTTTTTCTTTCTGATGGAAATATATTGCCAGGCAGCATTCTAGATAAGCCAACAGAATAATCACATATGTCAATAAATTCTTGAATTTCTCCAATACTTTCTGGCAATATTTTGCCTGTAAAATTAAATTTTGAAATTAAATAAAAATCAAGTTGAATAGGAAAAATTATAGAGAAATTATAGAAAGTAACATAGAAAATATACCCATTTCTAAGGACACTAATTGTCCTAATGGTTTTAAGTTTTTTCGCAATTCATCTCCAATTTGTCGTACTATATTGCCTCTTGCAGGTGCAGGTAATGATGCCCATTGAATCCATGCTTCATGAGCTTTTGTAATAGTATTACTTGCTTCTTGAGGAGTTGATGTTCTAATTTTTGCTATTACTTTGCCAGTTGCAGGTGAAATAGAATTTATCACCTGCATTATAATATTATAATATTAACGAAATCATTATTTTATTAATTTATTCGTATTAAAAATAATTTTAAATAATAATAATGAAATAAATAAAATTCCCGTAAAAAAAAAATATCAAAAAACAAAATAAAAAAAAATACCTTGCCAGATCCTCCCCAATGTCCGTCATAAAGCCCTGGATTTTCAGTTGTAAGACCTAATTGATTCAAAAATCCATATTTCGGATCAGTGACTAAGTGTCTAACCATTTGCCATTGTGGAACATTATTTCTTGACAGTAAACGAAACATTGCTAATTATTTAGTACTAACAGTTTGAAGCTTCTGCCACAATATAAGAAGACTATGGGTTATCAAAATAGCCGCTTATCAAAAAAAAAGGAGGGATGTGATAAGTTTAAATCAATAAATATCTCAAGAAAGTGCAATTAATTTTGAACTTTATACATATTACAAAATAATTTTATAATTAGTATTATTACTAATTTGATAATAATATGTAATATTATTTAAAATTTAAAATAAACATTTTTTTTTATATATATTATTTATATTTGCTTCATTAATAGAAATATGCTTTTTCAATAAAATTTATGAACAGGTGAATTAGAAAATATAAATGTAATAATTAAAACATTAGAAAAACGCGTTTTATTCCGTAACAATAATGCTACCAACATCACAATGCGATACGGCAGTGATTTACACAGAATAATAATAATTCAAAAGATATTTGTTCGTTTATATTTTATGTTTAAAAAATCTTTGATATATCCTTTGAGGCATGGAAATACATTTGTTTTTCTTAAATTTCATTATTGAAATTATATTAAACATGTTATTGTAATTCATTTGAATATGATTATTTCAGCCAGGTCGACAAAATTGGTAACATCGTAGATCAGAGATTAATTGCAATACTGATCTCGTTAAAGTTGGTTGATCCTATTAGTATATAACAAAATCAATAAAAATATTTTTTATTAACTATTTTAAAAATCAGCTATTTTTAAATTTAACTTACAGTAGACTTGTCAAAATTTCCTAATAATGTAGCTTTTTGCATATCGTCTACGCCTTCACAACTTGTTAAAAATGTCGGTAAAAAATGTCCAAAAAACCATGCTATATTAACAGAAGCTAAACTATGAATAGCAGTTGCAATTTCATCTGCTAATAAATTATGGGATCTGAAAATGAATATTGTTAAAATATTTTATTATTTTAAATAATAAATCATGTTTAAAAAATATTCAACTAACTGTTGAAACAGAACAGTAAATAATGCCATTAGAAATCTCTCAAGTAAATGAACTTTAAATACAGCTCGTTGATAAAGCCGCCATCGTACATTTAATTGTTCAAGACTTTGTAAACTTTGACGAAATATATTAACATCTGGTTGAAGAAGAGCTTGACCAAAAGCTTCTAAAATTGCAACTAGTTCTTCTTTATGCTCAACAGATTCTTCTTCGTCAGTATGACCAAGAGTACGTAATATCGAAGTATTATAAAAATATTGCCATCGATGCATAAGTATACTAAATAAAATATTTTACATTTATTAAAATTATATTAACAATTAAAATAATCAAAATAAAATTAATTCATTACCTATGGAAAAGTTTTAATAAAACGAGTGTAGTATCTGGATGCGCGCTAAGATCATTTCCGACAGCAGGCCATACTTGACCTAAGCATAAGTTAGTCACTGAAGGAACAAATGCTTTAAATGCACTGCTAGGTGCTGATACGACTAATATTAAAATCTCTAATAACTGATCTAATGCAGGTCCTGCGGATATATTTTCTCTATAAATGAATAAAATATGAAATAAAAAATTTTTATTACATTATTTTGTTACGTTACAGTGAAAAATAATAATAAATTTTATTAAGAAATTTAAGTAACAAAGATTAAGTAACTCACCTGGTATAAATATGTAACATTCCTTGAACTGCATTTTGAGTAAATTCCGGGCCCAATTGTTGTTGTAGTACTGAAAATACTGAATGCAAAAAACGGAGCAAGACTTCGCATACACTCTGAC